GATAAAACATAATACAATCCAAGTCAATCCAGCGCAATCTAAGCTAAGCTAACCTAACCTAACCTAACCTAACCTAACCTAACCTAACATACACCAAATGTTACACAGCTCTAACCTAACTGCAGAGAAAACTAGAAAACAATTTTTCTCAAGAAAAAAGTGTTTCTACGTGAAACCTAATACCATCCTCGAACAGTCCACAAAATGTTATTTGGCAATAATTAATCAATTACTAATATTTTTGAAGACATCTTATTGTAAAATTAGGTTCAAAATCCTTAGACTTTTATTTAGAGCTGCTAATAAATATTTAGTTACAAATTATGAGGGTTTAATTAATTTTTATTGTAAACTATTAGTTTAATGCCGAAAATAAGAAATTCGCGAAGATATACAAACATTATCAGTAATAATAAAAAAAATTTTAGTGAAACTTTTGGTGGAGGCGCCGGGACAATTTAAAGTAAAACATAATTAAGCTGTACTTTATGTTTCATTCAAGTAAATTGACGAATTATCATCTTTAAATTCTAATTTATTTATGTTAGCGCAGTTAAGAATGCTCATTAATATTTTTTTTACAATTAAACTACAATATGTAACATACAGACAACCCAGCATACAGCAAATGTTACACAACTCTAATGTAACAGCAAAAAAACTAGAAAACGACTTTTCTAAGGAAAATCGTTTTTTATTTGAAACTTAATATCATCCTTGAATAAACCACAAAATATTATATGGAAATAATCAGTTAGTAGTATTTTATAAGACATCCTCTCACAAAATTAGGTTTAAAACTGTTAGCCTCTTATTTGAAGCTGCCAATAAATATTGATTACTGATTATGAGGATTTGGTTAATTTTTATTGTATTCTATTGTTTTAATGACGAAAATAAGAAATTCACGAAGATATACAACCGTTATCAGTAATTATTAAAAAAGTTTACTAAAAATTTTGGTGGAGGCGCCGGGAAATTAAAATAAAACTTATAATTGAGCAATAATTTTGTCTTGTTGAAGTAGATTGATGAATTTTCATCTTTAAATCATATTTTTACCATGTAGATGCAGTTAGATGTGTAATATATTACTGTTTTTACAATAAATTAAACTACAATTTCTATTATAATATATAGACAACCCAACATACAGCAAATATTACAATTTTAATAGCATCAGGCTCGTGTTTTGTCGGCGTGTGCTGATGGGAACCAAATATTTGGAAGCCCGCGATAGTTTCAATAGAATTTTTTTTTGTCATGAAGTATAAAGAGAAATGAATTTAGCATAAGCCTGAGAAATTTATCATTAAATATCTATGTTGTATTTGCTTCGTTAATTATTGTTTGACCGATTTTGCAAACTTGTAATTGTGTTATCTTTGACTTCCCAGTCGAACAAGTGGCTGGAAGAAATGAGACACCAGAGGGAATAAGATCAAGTTGTACAACACTTTCTAAATTTAGAAGCCTTGGAATTAAGGGTGAACTAAGCCGGAAAATAGCCGCAGAATACGTCCCCGTAGATCGTCGAGAGGGAACAACAAAAAGACACAATCCGCGGCGACCCTATCCCTTGTTCTCGAAAATTTGCTCCAGGGATTGAGACCCGATCGGGCGCATTAGTAACCACCGTTGCGAGAATCGTCTCTGACTTGACAAATGGGGTCGTTACGATACCGGGGTCTTATAAATTCAAATTAAAAGGACTTGAGNTCGAAAACATCAGACAAGTTTTCCTAAAAAATTATTTAATTATCTGAATACTTCCTGCAATTCGTCGGATATTCGTGCAATATTGGCGACTGTCTCGTCTGAAAAACTTTGAGAACGTTGAAGATTTCGTAAAAGGCCCACATCTTTTTTTATTCGTTCCACCACTGCGACTACTTCATCCTCAGAATCAGATTTTAATTTTTTATTCTTTGAAACCGCAACTTCCGGCCATTTTAAACAAATATGAACAAAATTATTATTTTTTATTCTCTCAAAACACTCTTTCAATTGCGTTGGATCTGTCACTAAATTAATTCGTTGCAGGTAATCTTTTACTTTTTTGAATGAAATTTCATTTTTACTTAAGAAATGATAAACTTGTTGTTTGTGAGGAGTATTCCGAAAGAATTCTTCAAAATGTTCTAGACTTTCTTGTGCTATAAGTGGATTTTGAGACGTTAAGCCTTTGATAAAAATATTTACTATTTCTGAAACTATTTGGTTGCAATTTTTTTCAAAATTTACTGACGAAAGGAAGACAATAAAATCAAGAATAAATAACAGTATGTCAAATCCCAAACTTAATAAAGCATTCATTTTTTGAATAATCTGAAACAAAAAGAATAATAAAGAACTGCTACTTAAGTATCATTATGTACCTTTAATATATCTTCGCAATTTAATATGGGAACTAACTGGCTGGTTATTTTAGACAACTTTTCTATAAATACTGGAAAACATGGAAAGCTAACAATTTCTTCGTCATTTGTATTAATTGCCCACAACTTAATCAGCTCATTTTTAACAAAATTTATGTCCACAGAGGTTTCTTCAAACGTAGCTGTTGACAAAGTATCGCAAACATCACACTACATAAAAAAATCGATTGTCCGCAATCTTATTTTAATTTTTATAATTGTATTAATTACCAAATAAGCAAACTCCTGTTGTGATATATTCTTTGAATACAACATTTTTGAATTTTCCAAAAACTTCCTTAATAGGCAATCGATTATATTTGATGATTGAGGTATATTTGAAAGTTTAATATATTTCCACAAAAAGGCTTTATCGTGAGGAGAATATTTTTCAACAAATTTCGTTTTATAATTAACTGGCAATTCTGAAAAGATTCGGGAAAGAAAATTTCCCAAAAGAACAGATTCAGGTCTTTCGCAAAAAGTTACAGAGAACAGCTCAAAACTTTTCTCCACTAAATTGCATAACAAACCATAGCTATTTTCAGGTAAGCTGAAACTGCAACAAAACATCAATTAATTGAAATAAATAACACTGAAGTATGAAAAATAAATACCTAATTACGCTAATCCATACATCAGTAGCCATTAATGCATGCCCCACGTTTTGGGACAAAATTTCGCTCAAGAGAATATTTTCAGACTTATTTACCTCATCGACGGTCATACAATTAAATAAAAGTGCACACTTTAATACCAGAACATCGTACAAATTATTTATATCAGGAAATTTTGAATAAATTAACAAATCTTCAAAAAACACGTCGTCCTCTAAAACGCAAATCCACACCACAATTAAAATTAAATTAAAATAAATATCTTTTTGAGACTTATTACCATTATCCACAAGAGTAAATGAAAGTTGAATATATTTATGCAAATTAAATGATGAAGTTTTCACCTCGCTTTTAGTATTCAAGTTCTGAATAAGGTCCAATATAAAAAATATTAAAACTACATAGCCTTTAATATCGTCGTTAATAAATCGTTTTGAATTTTGGACATCCTGTAGAATCTAATAAAAAGGAAAATAATTTGGGAGCAAGAACTATTTAGGTAACTAATAATATATTTACCTCATGAAATTTGTTGTCTTTAAAAAGTTCTCGACACAAACTATCACAAAGTTCAAACACAGAAGTATTTAGTAAATTTATAACATTTTCTGGATAATTTTTATATTCAATATAAGATGGACTAAAACTGAATCAGAAAAATATAAATTAATAGTAAACATGAAATTATTTATGTTAAAAAAGAATACCAATAAATTGTAGATAAGAAACTTATTATTTGCACATATGAATTTTTATTCTTTTGAAAAGTGCAGATTTTGCAAGCAATTTTTACTAAAAAGCTTGTAATCTTCAGAGTTTGCTGTAAATTTGTTGCATCAGGTTCCTAAAGATAAGAGTATTAATTATATAAAACACAAACTTTTCTGAATTCTTTACATTTGAAATCAACTCTAATATCAAATTAATATTAGTCTTAACTTCATTAGCAAAAAAATGTAAAGGTTGAGATATTGACACATTACACTCTTCTGCATTATCTAAATGTTTCTGTAATAAATTTATGTAGGCTTTCCATGTTTGCAGGGTTGCTTTTGCATTCATCCCTGACACAGTTTCTCCTATTTCCCCTAATAACTTGATAACTAAAACAGATTTTGTTAAATAACTTTAAAATCTTATGATGGTCCCATTTTCAAATATCTTTATTATTTACCTTTTTCCAATGTTTTTTCATCTTCAGAACTTAAATTATTAAATACTAATTGCTTTTCCAGTAATGATATCAATTTTGAGTTTACTTCTTGCCCTTGCTTAAACAAATTTATTATTTCACCCAATGAATCAAAATAATTCTTGTAAATATTTTTGCTGGAATTATAAAAAACAATTATTTCAAAAGTAATGTAAAATAAAGTTGCAATTACTATGTATTTACCTTTCCTTGCAATGAGCAAAGATTTTCAATACAATTTCAAATACGTTCTTTGGTAAATCTTTTAAAACAGTTAGAACATTCACTTTATTTTTATTTATATACTCTAATATGTTATAAATATTCTGAGTTACTTCTAAAGCCATCTGAAACAATTATATTTTGAGAGAAACAAGTACAAAAAGAGAATTACTAATTTATATTTGTACCTTTAAATATTCCCTAATATTTTGCAAAGTGCACCCAGAGTCTTTATGATTTTCAGAATTTACAAGATCTACCACTCTGTCTAATAGCTGTAAATGAAAATTATTTAACAGAAGTGTTCAAAAAAGATACAAGTCCTCTACCAAACCCATAATTGAATTCGAACAGGGCATTACATGCTCGAAAACATCAGACAAGTTTTCCTCTGCTAGTACTGGTAAAAGCTCATTAGTTATTAATTTTAAACCAGACAGTCTTTCTGATAAGCCTTCACATTGCAATGGGACGTAAAAACATTAAGGAAATAACTTGAATAACAGCTACTAAGTCACTTACAATTTAAAAAACATGAAAAGGATATTATATAGTTTGTTATCTTTTCTTTAATTGAGGATCCACTTAAACAAACATTATTTAAAATACTATCAGAGAAAAAATCATTTAACGTATTTGAATTCATTATCAAAATTAAAAATTGACGCTCAAAATAAGTTTAACGTAACCTATAAATATTTGAAATTTGAATTCGGCAACACTTTTTGCTCCTGTGTTCATCCTGCTGCATACTTTCTAATAGTTTTAGAGCTAACTTTAGGTTAGTAAATGATTAGTAGGGTGTACTTTAATTAGGGTTATAATTTGTTGCTAAATATTTAAATGTAAAATTATTCATTTTACTGCCTTTTTAAACTTCGATTAAAAATGTCCATCGAAATAGAGTCTGCAGAGTAAGTTGTTATCATTAGTTTTTTATTTTTCAATTAATTTCTTGACTACAATTTTTTCAGTGTGATTCGTCTCATACAGCAATATTTAAAAGAGTCAAATCTAATAAGGACTTTACAGACTCTCCAGGTAATTTACTATTTGTCTGTCATGCTCTGATATAATTTATTTAATGTTTGTTAAGGAGGAAACTGGAGTATCACTGAACACGGTAGATAGTGTAGATGGCTTTTGCAATGACATAAATAATGGCCACTGGGACACTGTTTTGAAAGTTATTCAGTCTCTTAAACTGCCAGATAAAAAGTTAATAGATTTATATGAGCAAGTAAGCAATAAAAACTAAATATGCAGACCATTGACTGTATACAAAGGTGTTTTGCTTTTTAGATTGTTTTGGAGCTTATAGAGCTGAGGGAATTAGGGGCAGCTAGGTCTCTCCTCAGACAAACTGATCCTATGATTATGTTAAAACAAAATGAACCTGAACGTTACATACATCTAGGTAACTTTTGCTTTGTTGTGTATTCCTCAAGTTTTTATGGTTTGTTATTATTACATTGTAGAGAATTTATTGGCTAGATCATACTTTGATCCACGTGAAGCTTATCCTGATGGTAGTAGTAAGGAAAAACGTAGGGCTGCTATTTCCCATGCATTATCAGGAGAAGTATCTGTGGTACCCTCCTCAAGGTTGTTAGCTCTTCTTGGACAGGCTCTCAAATGGCAACAACATCAAGGACTATTGCCCCCAGGTTATTTTAAGGAGAATCATTTTATTTATTGAGATTTATCTACTTAAGGGTGATTTAGGTACTACAATTGATTTGTTCAGAGGAAAGGCTGCTATTAGGGAACAAGAAGATGAACAGTACCCAACACAAATGGCAAAACAGATTAAGTTTGGTCAGAAATCTCATGTGGAATGTGCCAGATTTTCTCCTGATGGACAATATTTGGTAACTGGAAGTGTTGATGGTATTATAGAGGTATGGAACTTTACCACTGGTAAAGTAAGAAAGGATTTGAAGTACCAGGCACAGGTATATTACTGTTGTCACAGAATTTTCAGGGATATTAAAAAGGTAATTCTTTTAAGGATAATTTTATGATGATGGAACATGCAGTTCTGTGCATGGCATTTTCAAGGGACAGTGAAATGTTAGTAACAGGTTCTCAACAGGGAAGAATTAAAGTTTGGAGAATAAGCACAGGTCAATGTCTTCGTAAAATTGAAAAAGCTCATACCAAAGGCATTACTTGTCTACAATTTTCAAGGGATAACAGTCAAGTTTTAAGTTCTTCTTTTGACTGTATGATTAGGTAACAGTTAATTTTAAAAAATAATACTTCAAATGGTTCATCTCAATTTGTTTTCTTTTAGAATGCATGGCCTAAAATCTGGTAAAGTTCTTAAAGAATTTAGGGGGCACAGTTCTTTTGTAAATGAGGTGGTTTTTACACAAGATGGTCATAATATTTTAAGGTAAAGCTACGAATTTTCTTGAAAATAAATTGCTAATTAAGTTGTTGTTCATCTAGTGCATCTTCTGACGGTACTGTTAAGGTTTGGAGTATTAAAACGACCGAATGTATTAGCACTTTTAAGGCTTTAGGGGCCAGCGACATTCCTGTAAATAATATACACAATTTCCCAAAAAATCCTGAGCATTTTGTTATTTGCAATCGAAGCAATACTGTGGTCATAATGAACTTACAAGGACAGGTACAAACACGAATTGTTTTCTAGTAGAAAATTATTTTCTCCATTCTCGTTTATATTTAGATTGTGAGGTCTTTTGCTAGTGGAAAAAGAGAAGGTGGTGACTTTGTTTGTTCTTCTGTATCCCCCAGGGGTGATTGGATCTATTGTATAGGAGAAGATATGGTTTTGTACTGTTTTTCAACAACATCTGGGAAATTAGAGAGAACCTTGAATGTAAATATATCGTTTGATAGTTTCTATAAAAGTTTTTGGGAAATATTTTTTATTTTAGATTCACGAAAAAGATGTAATTGGTATTGCTCATCACCCCCATCAAAATCTAATTTGTACATACAGTGAAGATGGATTATTAAGATTATGGAAACCATAAAATATAATTGTTTATTTTTATTTAATAATTTTAATTGCATTAATTGAATTGAATGTATTAATTGAACTCCTAGAAGGTTGACTGATATTTTTTACTAATTAAATAAAAATCGTGTGAAATATTATTTTGCATTATATATTAATTGCTTATAAGTTCACAAAAAAACAGGCCAAAAAATAATTAATTAATTGAGCAATTAAATGAAGTGAAAAATTGATTAATTAAATATTGCTATTTTAATTTATAAAAGAATCGATTGTCAATATTATAAAGACTACTATTTGTCAAATTAAGTATTAATCAATTAAGAGTACCTGAAGGTGTTCTACAGAAATTGTCTAGTAAACATTTTTAGTAGTATGTTTTTAAAAAATCAACAAATTTTAATTATTTTCAATAAAAGTAGTTAAAAAAACTTTACATCA